TTTTTGCTCTGAAGCCATTTTAATTTTAGCATTGTCTGCTGCTGTGGTTAAGCTGTGTCCTTCAAAAGGACATGTTGAAGTACTAACCCCTGGTACCTGTGAATGTGACCTTATCAGGAAATAGGGTCTTTGCAGAGGTAATCAAGTTAAAATGAGGTAATCAATATGACTAGTGCCCTGATAAAAAGAAGAAACAGCAGAGACATATGGGGAGACATCATGGGCATGTTGCATGATGACAGAGGGAGAGACTGGAGAGATGTGGCTGCAAGCCAAGGATTGCTAGCAGCAACCAGAAGCCAGGAAGGTCAAGGAAGGACTCTAACCAGGGTCTCAGAAGGAGCATGGCTCTGCTGCCTCCATGACTTCAGACTTCTGGCTTCCAGAGCTGTGAGAAAATAAATCTCTGTTATTTTAAGCCACCTAGTCTGTTGTGCTTTGTCACAACGGCCCTAATAAATGAACAGATGGACCATATGGAGAGCTTGCAGATCTTCACAACCATATTAAGTGCTAGGTCCTTCATGTTAAAAGCTCTTTCCTTGAGGTTCTCTCTCTCTTCTTGCACATCACTATAAGCTGCAATAAGAAGGCAGGCAGCATCTTCAACTTTCAGGATGGACATCTCCTTCGCTGGATCACTTCATTGATTGGGTATTGATTGAATCACTTCATTGATTCGACTTTCCACATAACTTCAGGCAACAGTGTTGCTACAGCTCAGCCACTACGTAACAAGGATCCTCTTCCTTCATTTTCCAATAATTTTACCTCACTTTCCCACCAGTGCTCTCCTACAGCTTAAGACCATAAAGGTTTCTTTCAATACTTTCTTCAAGCCATTTTAGGCTTCCACTAGGACTCTTCTCAAAGCTCACTGCACAGTTGCAAAGTCACACCCCCTACTGAGGCTTTTGTTATGTCAGCACCCAACTTTTGGGTACCCAAATCTGGATTAGGTATCTGCTGCTGTGTAACAACCTGCCCCAAACCTAGTGGATTAAAACACCAAGCATTCATTATGCACATAGTTTCCAAAGTCTGGGAATCCAGAAGCTGCCTGATGATGTGATTCTGGCTCAGGGACTCTCATGAGGTTGCAGTAAGTGTCGACTGTCCTATGCTTGCAGTCTGTGAAGCTGTGACTAGGGCTGCAGGTTATGCTTCCAACGTTACCCATGTGGTTGTGGGCAGGAAGCTTCAGTTTCTTGCCACCTGGGCCTCCCCATAGGGCGTGTTTATGACATGGTTTTTCCCAGAGTTATTAGAGATAGGGAAAGAGAGAGAGTGCAACAGAGTGACCAAGATGGAAGTCATAATGTATTTTATCTGGAAGAAACATGCCATTATTTCTGCTGTATGTCACACAGATCAACTCTGGTACTGCATGGGAGAGAACACTCAAGGGTACAAATATCAGGAGGAGGGATTCTTGAAGAGGGGTCCATCTTGGAGGACAAAATGTATTCTGCACACACAGGCTCACGGTTATGGGGTCATCATTTTGCTTTTCTGGTTAATGCTTTTGATAAGATTAATCTTACCAACGGGTAGAGGCTGGATTGTGTATCTAAATTCAAACATTGATTTCCCAACTCCTAGTACATCAGGATGTGACGATATTTAGAGATGGGAGTCTTGAGAGAGCTGATTCAGTTAAAATGAACCTGTTAGAGCGGGGCCCTAATGTGATACGACAGTACCCTTATAAGAAGGGCACCAGGGGTATGGGTACATGAATGGATGGCCATGAGAGGTAGCAAGGGGGCAGCCACTGCAAGCCAAGGAGAGAGGCTCCAAGAAAACCAACCCCTTGGGCAACTTGATCTTGAACTTCCAGCCCCAGAACTGTGAGAAAATAAATTTCTGTTGTTTAAGGCACTCAGTCTGTGGCATTTTGTCATGGCAGCCCCAGCTAACTAGTATAACAACCTTTTGAGAGATATCTGAAAATATCTTGCTTTTGCCAACACACATTTACTCATCGTTTACTTTTGAAAATCTTTTAAAATATCATTTTTGTTTTGATATGTATAGTTATACATCAATGCATATAATTAGATTTGTTTCTATACACAATGTGTAATCTAATCTAATCTGAGAGTCTGTGCTTTTACTAGGAGGATTGAGACCTCTTTCATTTCATATTATAGTCCATTTTAAATCTAATCCCCCACTTTCCAGAGGTGGGAGCTGGAGGGATTTATGGCTCTCTAGGATGAAAATGTATCAAAAGCTGCCTCTCCACTGCTTATTGTGGACTGACTTAAGGGATCATATTGTAATGGAAATGTTGTTTTCAAAGAATTACCAGATCAACTTAGTTTAAGATCAAAGCATTAATCTTTTGGGGCCAGAGAGAGGGGTCTTGAATTGAGCCAAATTAGAAGAGACAAAGGGGATATCACAATTAATGGGAAACAGATTTAGGGAAGCAATCCCAGAGAAATTCTCAAACCAAGGAGCAATTCGCAGTGGGAACTTTTTAACAAGCTCTCCTGGCCTCGGTGTGGGTTCACTTAAAGGAGCCACACTGGAGTGTCTTTGAGTCTCCTAAGAACAAGTTTTCTGATTTGTTCTTTGCTCTGCTCTGATTACACAAACTTCTGGACACTTGTTTATCTTCATTGCTTTGTCTGCTGCACTGATTTGGAAAACAAGTATTCTGTGTTCAGTAGTTAGGTTAGCTTTCAATTTAATAAAACATATCTATTTCTCTAGTAACTAGAGAAACATAACCTACGTTTCTCTAATTACTAAAGTCAGAACAAAACAAGGTCTTTTGCTTACCCTGTAATTAAAGTAAGAAATTCAGCATGTTTTTACTTTGTCTTTCATCTTACCTTAAAAAATAGTATAGACTATTACAGAACCAGTTCATCAAGTTTTTTTAAAAAAATAATTTTTTTCCAAAAAAATATTTTTAGCTTCCATAGTTAATTTTAGGACTTTTAAAAAGTTTTTTTGAGACAGGGTCTCTCTCTGTTGCCCATGCTGGAGTACAGTGGTACACTCTCAGCTCACTGCAACCACTAACTCCCAGGCTTAAGCGATTTTCCTGCCTCAGACTCCTGAGTAGCTGGGACTACTCAGCTACTTTCTTTGAATTTTTTTTATAGAGATGGGGTTTTGCCATATTGCCCAGGCTGGTCTCAAACTTCTGAGCTCAAGCAATCTGCCCTGCCCTGGCCTCCCAAAGTGCTGAAATTACAGGCATGAGCCACCGTGCCCAGGCAATTTTGTGACTATTTTTTGAAAACACATAATATTGACTTCACAGGGACCACCAATTCTTTTATATCTTGACTTCCTTATTTTTGAGTTATTCATTTGGATTCTGTGTCCTATGGAGTAAGTTTTAAAATAATTTTTTAAGGAAGGCTATATTAGTGAAATTGCTTCTGATTCTTAGATATCTAAAAATATCTTTCCATAGCCTGTACTCAGGGATTAAATTTGGCTTGTAATATTATGCTTAGGTAATGAAGATTCCTCTTTAGAGGAATACCTTTTACTCCATTTGGAGCTAGTGAATGACAGCAGGTAGCCTAATTTTTTCTCTTTTTGAGTAAACTATTATTTTCTGTTTTGTTGCTCACCTACTGTTCTCTTTATTCTAGATTTTTCATCTATGTCCAAGCATAAGCCGTTTTTTTCCATAGGCATAGGATTTTTTTTTTACATAAGGGAAATTCTTTTTCTGCTATGTTTGTGATGACTATTTCTGCCCCTTTTGTTCCAGCACTTCCAGAAATATTTGTTATCCATAAGTTAGATTTCTACTACTTCACTCTGTCTCTATGTTCTTCTCCTTCCATATCATTTTTCAGCCTTTTCTTCTACAGTCTTAGAAAACAGTTCCCAGATTGCATTGTTAATTCTGCTCTTTACTGCAACTGTAGCATTTTTCCTTTTGCATATATCCATCTCTTATTTTGGCTGGCTCCATGTTTGATATGTGGAGGATATGTGGAATGATTTAAACCCACCTGAATGTGTTCTTGGGGTCTGGTGGAGCCTCACCTCAGATCTATGCCTGGGGGATAAACTGATTTACACAATTCCTACCCTGGCTTCCTGCAGGTTCTCATCCAGTGTAGCTGCGTTCCACAAAGGTGGATCTTGGCAGCTTTCTGCTTCTAGGGGCACTTCTGTTTCCAGAGCATTTCCTAAGAGAATATCCATCCCTATGTACCATCCATCCTCTTCCCTTCTACCTCTGCTATGTTGTACTTGGAGACGTGACCTTGAAGTTGATATAAAAAGGGGTGAATTGGAGGGAGAGAGTTGCAGGAACCTAATTCTGGCCTTCCTGGAACCTAATTTGCACGCAGAAGGAGAGAAGCAATCTGGACTCTGATTACAGCAGCCCTCAACCCCTGACCTGGACAGAGAGTGGGAGGAGCAAAGCCTTCTCCTGAGATCCCATTGGCTATTCTATGCTGGATCAGAAGATGAAATAGATATTGCTAGGGTGGACAGTGATCCTTCAGACCAACCCCACTGGCACTGAACTTGGTAGAAATTCCCTCTATATTTCTATCAAAGCTGACACAAGGTTTTATGCTTTTGCAGAGCTTCATGGGGATTTTAATAGGAGATAGAATGCATCTTAGACCAACCCAATGTTAATTTTTACATATGCCTGATGCAGTTCCCCTCCCTGCCTTAGAGAACAATGTACTCTTCATAGATATAAAACAATTATTTTTCAATTCTGATAAGGGCTGAAAATTATACCACTCATCAATTCCCATGGCAGCCACATGATGCTTACAGGTGGAATTGTAGAAGACGACCTAAGGGCGGTTAAACAGAAGCATCCTGGCCTCTGCAGCAAGCAACAGTGTCATGCAAAATGGCCTGTAGGAGCTCTAGTCACTTCCAGAAGCTGGTCATTAAGCTGACTCATCTTCTACTAAATTTAACACATAGTTCACCAGCAAGGATATCCCTTAAGCACATGTCAAAAGGAAAAATATAACACAGTTTATCTTTACCTTATAATAAATTCTGGCCACCAAACTCCGCTGAAGAACCTGTTCACGAAATTTCACTGCTTTCAACAGAAAGGCGAGATTATAGACTGTGTCTGTGTTAAATGCCAGGAAACTGGAGGAAAAGCACAGTGACCATCATTATTATTTTGGCCTTACCAAAGAATTTCATTTGAAAGAAATAGATTTCAAAAATATTTTTTCTATAGAAAAATAGTGTCAATATACATAATCTTGCTATCTCTCACCGAGTGTATTCATAATTCTTTTCAGTAATTTTCTGATAAATGCTTAGCTCAAGTTTATTCTAAGTGGTTGTCCTATGTCCTTGTATAGAGATCGTTTTGTTTCCTAATTTTTCCACTTACTATTGTATTATAAGTAGTGTTCAATATTTTACGTAGTCTTTCTTAATTAATAGCTATACAATTTCTATGAAGCATAACTCAGCCATTATATAATTTATGTATAACTCAACCATTATACAATTCTTTTTTTTTTTTTTTTAGACAGCATCTTACTCTGTTCCCCAGGCTGGACTATAGTGGCATGATCTCAGCTTACTGCCACCTCTACCTCCTAGGTTCAAGCAATTCTCCTGCCTCAGCCTCCCAAGTAGTGGGGATTACAGGCGTGAGCCACCATGCCTGGCTAATTTTTGTATTTTTAGTAGAGACGGGGTTTACCATGTTGGCCAGGCTGGTCTTGAACTCCTGACCTCGAGTGATCTGCCAACCTTGGTCTCCCAAAGTGCTGGGATTACAGGCATGAGCCATCGTGCCCAGTCCCCACCATACAATTCTGTCAAGCGAGACTATAATAACCACTGCTGGGTATTTATTATAATTATTTTAACTGGATATTAATAATCAAATATATCTGTTACAAAGTATTTGTCAATGGATATTTATTAAATATATTATATATCAGGAATTTGGCTCATTATTTGCTGTGAATTATTCAATTTTCTCAATAATTCTAGAATACTATAATTATCCAATGTAAAGTTCAGGAAACTGAGGCTCAGCAAGATTTGGTAAACTGCTCAAGGTCACACAGGCAGAACTCAGTCAAGCTCAGATTTTGTTAAGGAACATCAGTATTTAAAGCAAGAGGCACCCCGGAGGGAAGTGAGAGGGCTGTGGGCAAGCACAGGAGAGGGTGTGCCACAGAGATGGTGGCTTTCTTCAGCAGGCAGCAATTCCCATCTTTCCCATTTGGCAAATGAGAAAACTGAGGCACAGAGGAGTTAAGAGATGTAAGCACAGACTCAAAACAAGCAAGTTCTCCTTAAAAGCTTGTCAGCTTTTCATCATGAAACTCTGTATTTCATGCTGACTTTCTGGCCCCACCATGAACCTTTAGATAACACAGACAATCAGGGGAAGGGTTAATTCACACTTAGGGTTTCCCATAGTGCGGCTGCCTCTTGCCCTCCCCTTTCCCCACTTCCTGAGGAAATAAGTTATTATAAGACCCAAGTAACTTAAATTCACATTAACTAAAAATAAAAAACCCAAGTGGCTGTTGTTGCTTAATCAGAAGGCATGAGAGAAACGTTAAGAAGCAACTGATGTAGTGCTTTTGAGGATGCCAAGTGCTGAATTAATAATCACCCTCCATTTAGACAGGGAAGAGGGAGGTATTTACATACCAATTACCAGGAAATTTAAATGATGTCAATGTTTATTCTGCATCTGGGCTTTAAAAAGGTTGGGTTTCTGCCTCGGTCTACTTAATAAAAGATGTAAAGAACTTCCATATATTATTATTGAAAAGTATGTTTTAGTCATCTAGGGGCCATTACTGGAAACTAGCTTTCCTGGAATGCAGATGGTAGAACATGTTTGTCAACCTGAGGTTGTGAACTGCACATGCTGCAGGAAGCGGATCTCACCCACTCACCGAGTCACGTGAGTCACATGTCACATAGCTCTAGGAACCCGCCTACTGCAGAAGAGTGTGCGGACTCTCTTTAAAAACAGGAACATCACTAAAGGCAATCTCCCTGTAACTGCGTATTTTACAAGAAGATCCAAATGACTCTATTTTTAAATAAAGTTTACATTAAAATGTATATCATTAGTCATCAGGGAAATGCAAATGGAAACCACGGTGAGGTGGCCTCATACATCCACCAGAATGACTAAAATTAAATACACTGACATGAAGTGTTGCCAAGGATCTGGAGAAAGCAGAACTCTCATGCTTGCTGATGGGAGTGTAAAATGGTAAAATCACTTTGCAAAAAGTTGTCACAGTTTCTCATAAAACTAAATGCACACATACCCTATAATCTAGCAGTTCCACTCCTACTATTTGCCTAAGAGAAATAAAAACATACATTCACCAAAATGTTTATATAAGAATGCTCATAGCAGTTCTACTCACAGAAGTGAAAAACTGCAAACATCCCAGGCGTCTATTCATCAATAAGAGAATGGAAAACAAATTCTACTATATCCATAAAGTAAAATACTGCAATAATGAAAAGGAACAAACTAATCCACACAACAACATGGGTGAATGTCACAAAGTATTATGCCAAGTTCATGAGGGAGCTACAAAAGAGTACATACTGCATGGTTCCATTTATGTGAAATTCTAGTGCAGAAAAACTCATCTGTAGTGGGAAAATATCAGAACAGTGGCTGTATCTGGGTGGTAAGATTGACCAAGAAGGGACCTGAAAGAACTTTCTGGAGTGATGGTCCATATCTTAATACGAGTTTGGTTACATAGGTATATGCATTTGTAAAAACTCAGTGAATGTACACTTAAGATTTATGCATTTTATTGTATGTAATTTCTACATAAGAAGAAAAAGAATTAAAACTAAATATGTAACTCTAAAGATGCTCATGCTAAATTACTTAGAAATATGCTGATGTCTACAGTTTACTTTGAAATGGGTCAAAAAGAGAAGATGAATGGATGGGTGAGTTCCATACACGAATCCATAGATGTGATAGTGATAGGTCAGGTACAGTAATAGGTTAATATAATCTCCATGGTTTGTACTTAAACGCTTCCTATAAAATTATTTCAACTTTGCTGAATATTTGTAGATTTTACAGCATAATGTAGAAAAACATCTTGGGTGCAAGGCAAAATCTTGACTTTTCTGGACACCTACCACTACCTCCTAAAGGTCCACAGGCTGATGAGAACAGGAAGGGCCCCAGTGGCAGGCCTCCATGTGGTAGGGAGTGAGGCAGCCCTTACAGGGACAAGCCAAGGCTGAATGGCTGTCTGCAGAGCCAGGTACAGCCCCCTCTCAGAGTCATTTCCTTCCAGGGCTCTTCTCCCTGCCATGTGCCATCTGCCTTATCTGGTCCCATGGAAGTTTTCAGTACCCTGACTGACTCCTCCCAGGCCCAAATGAGGGGTAGTTGCTGTATGGACAAATGGGTGCCCATTGGAGGGATTTGAGGGTACTAGTAAGTTCTCAGCCCATCTTTCCTCAGGTCCCCACCTGCTCAAGAGTACTTTTCTCAGGGCTGTCACTATGTCTACCACCCTACTGCTCTCCGAGTGCAGACTCCTTGAAGGCAGAACCCCTAGTAACTGCTGATCACCAATGCGTTAAGAAGTGCCCAGTACACAGTGAGTGCTGAAAACACATTGATGACAAAGCCTTCTTTCACATAAAAGCCAGAGTGAGTAAAGTTTGGGGATTTAAGTGGATAAACACAGAGACTGAATCAGTAAAACCTAGATGTGTGGGAGAGATGTATACTGTTTTGGAGGTTAATAACTGAGACAAAAATAAATGGACTGGAACTTTCCAAATATTTACAATTGGAATACTGCCTTTGGCACATCTCAACTCTGTCCTGGAAAATGTGCTAGGAATATAGATTTGCATATGGGTGAGAGCGTGTCATGCTTCCAAAATGATGGAAACAAGCCCTGCTCTGCTACCTGAAAAAGAAATGAAAGGGTAGATGATTTGCAGCCAGTTGGGGAACAAGTTTCCTGCAACGATGGAGCTGATTCTGGTGGGGAGTTGTACTATTCTTTCAATTCCTTAATATATTGGACAATTTTCAAACTAATACATTGGGGGAAAAGCTATCCATACTATACACTTCCCACTCAGAGCTAGAAATATTAGGAAGACCCACTAACTCTAGAGTGTGAGGACAAATGGAGACATTAAAAATAAGAGAGACTCCAGTGAAACAGTTCTAACATGTAGAAGCTTGTGTTTTTAAGCTTTAAGATCGACGACAGTTTGAATAAACAGGTCCTGAGCAGCAATAAAAATAGGAAAAAAAAGATAGATTACAGATTTCTCAATTTTACTTCATCCCAATGGGTATAAAAAATCCCAGACCATCATTTACTATGTTTTCTATGTGTTTAATCAGGATTGTGAGATTATATTTTCTAATGAATAGTTTCCTCAGAAGCTAGTTCAATACTTTTGGATTTGGGGGACCAATAATCTCATTCCAAATAAAAATAACAATTAAAAAATACACAAAAGAAAAAAGCATAATAAGCTCTCTAAAAGTAATAAAGGAGACAATACATTCATAAGCATAAATCAGTGAAATAGAAAACAAAGGAACAACAGAAAGGATCAAAGGGAAAAGTTGGTTATTTGAAAAATAACAATAAACCAGACAAACATCTGATGAGATTGAACAATAACAAAAAAAGAAGGCACAAGGAAGCATTTTAGAAATGACAAATGAGATACTACTACAGATCTAGCAGAAGTTAAAAAGATAATGATAGAACAGTACACAAAAAATCTTACACCAATAAAATCAAAACCAAGTCAATAAATTCCTCGAAAAATATAATTTACTTAAACTGACATGAAAAGAAAAGCCTAGTCTTTAAACAATTAAGCTAATTAAAGAGTTTAAAATACTCCTAAGCCCAGATTATTTTCAAATAACTTATCAAATTCTTCCACAGAATAAGAAACCACTCCCAAAATAACTCTATGAGAGCTGTGACACTGATGTAAATCTAAATCAACAATGTACAATTCGAATGGAAAACTATAAATGTACAATAAAATTCCCCCAAAAAACTAACAAAGACAAATCCAGGAAAATATAAATATGATAATACAGCAAAATAAAATTGAATGTTTCTTAAGCATGCAAGGGTAGTTTAACATTAGATGATTTGCAAAAGTTATTCATCAAACTAACAAAATAAAGAAGAAAGATACAATCATTTCAACAGATACAGAAAAATATAATTTGATAAAATTAATCTGGTAATGACAAAAATACCTTTAAAATGTATAAGCATCTTTAGGAAGTAAAGTGTGTCTATCAATTTCAGCAAACATCATTTTTAGTTGTGAAATATTAAACTAATTATTTAGGAAGCTAGCAATAAAAGTCTGGGAGAGGTGATTCATGTCTGAAATTCTAGCACTTTGGGAGGCCAAGGAAAAGACACAGCTTGAGGTCAACAGTTCAAGACCAGCCTGGGGCAATGAAGACGGACACTGACTCCAAAAATAAAAATAAAAAACATTAGCTGGGTGTGGTAGTGTGTGCCTGTCATCCTAGCTACTCAAGAGGCTGAGGTAGAAGGATAGCTTGAGATCAGGAGTTGGAGGTTACAGTGAGCTATGACATTCATGCCACTACACTCCAGCCTGGGGGACAGAGTAAGACTCTGTCTCTAAAATTAAAATCAGCAATATGACAAAAGAACACCCTGTAAGATGGCTTCTATTCAAATTGTGTTGGTCGTCCTAGCTCTTGCTGTGAGACATGAAAAGAATAAAAGAAACAACAGTTGGAAAGGAAGAAATAAAAATTCATAATTTATAAATGATTATCTATGGAAAAAAACCTCTAAAGAATCTACAGACACATTTAAAAGAAATTTCTGTACAGTCAGCTTTATACACAAAAGCCAACTGCATGTATAATAAACCATTAACTATAAAAATCATAATTTAAAAATATTATTTTAACAATGAAATAATAAAGTAATGAGTAATAAGTCTATGAAAGGATATACTATGTATGGAAAAAATTATAAAACCCTGAAGGACACTTTGAAGATGAAAATCTTTGAGAGGAAGACCTGCTTCATAAATATGTCAAATTTTTTGCAAATCTATAGATTTAATATAGTTTCAAAGAAACTTTCAGCAGGTTTTCAGGCCTGTGATAAAATACAAATAACAAAACATTTATCATTTTCACTACTTTTTTTTTTGAGATAGAGTTTCACTCTTGTTGCCCAGGCTGGATTGCAATGGTGCAATCTCAGCTCACTGTAACCTCTGACTCCTGAGTTCAAGAAATTCTCCTGCCTCAGCCTCCCAAGTAGCTGGGATTACAGACATGCGCCACTATGCCCAGCTAATTTTATATTTTTAGTAGAGACGGGGTTTCACCATGTTGCCCAGGCTGATCTTGAACTCCTGACCTCAGGTGATCCACCCATCTCAATCTCCCAAAGTGCTGAGATTACATGTGTGAGCCACTGTGGCCAGCCCATTTTAAGTGTACAACTCAGTGATATTAAGTACATTCACATCGTTATACAACCAACACCACTATTCATCTCCACAACTTTTTCATCTTCTCAAACTGAAACTCTGTACCTATGAAACAAATAACTACCAATTCTCTTCTCTTATTAGCCCCTGGGAACCAACATTCTACTTTCTATGTCTACAAATTGGACTACTGTAGATATGTCATATAAGTACAATCCTACAATATTCATCCTTCGTTTTATTTCTAAGAAACTTGACAAACTGATTACAAAACTTATATGAAATGGCCAAAGATCCTGAACAGCCAACACAATTCTGAATTACATTTCTAATATAATAATATAATGTAATACTATAGTAATATTTTGTTTTAAAGTCAGAGTGATTATAAAAGTGTATTGTTGGATCAAAAATATACAAAAAAGACTTAGAAAATAATAGTCCCAGAATGAACTCCCAAATAGATGGAGATTTAATAAATGCCAGAAGAGACCTTGCAGATTACTAGGAAAGAATGTCCAATTCGGTAAACGGTGCCAGAACAAATGACTGTCCCTAAAGGTAAAAAATAAAATTAGATCCCTTCCTCAAACCATGCATAAAAATGTCTATGTATTTAATAATTAAATGTAGGCCGGGCGCGGTGGCTCAAGCCTGTAATCCCAGCACTTTGGGAGGCCGAGGTGGGTGGATCACAAGGTCAAGAGATCAAGACCATCCTGGTCAACATGGTGAAACCCCGTCTCTACTAAAACTACAAAAAATTAGCTGGGCATGGTGGCGCGTGCCTGTAATCCCAGCGACTCACGAGGCTGAGGCAGGAGAATTGCCTGAACCCAGGAGGCGGAGGTTGCGGTGAGCCGAGATTGCGCCATTGCACTCCAGCCTGGGTAACGAGAGCGAAACTCCGTCTCAAAAACAAAAAAACAAAAAAACAAAAAACAAAAAACAAAAACAAAAACAAAAAAAATAATAATAATTAAATGTAAAAGGTGAGACTTTCAAACTTTTAAAGATATAGATTTCATGACCTCAGAATAGATGATGCAGAAAGTGTTGGATATAAAAGAAAATATCGATAAGTTTGAGTATAATTAATGAATTTATCTCAATCAAAAGACACCATAAAGAAAATGTGACAAGGCTGGGCACAGTGGCCCACATCTGTTTTCCTGGCACTTCGGGAGGCCAAGGCAGGCGGATCACAAGGTCAGGAGATTGAAACAATCCTGGTTAACATGGTGAAACCCCATCTCTACTAAAAATACAAAAAAAAAAAAAAAAAAAAAAAATTAGCCAGGAATGGTGGCATGTGCCTGTAGTCCCAGCTACTTGGGAGGTTGAGGCAGAAGAATCACTTGAACCCAAAAGGCAGAGGTTGTAGTGAGCTGAGATTGCACCACTGCACTCTAGCCTGGGCAACAAAGTGAGACTCTGTCCCCCCCAAAAAAAAAGAAAAGAAAAAAGAAAAAAAGAAAGAAAGAAAGAAAATATAGGCTGGATGTGGTGGCTCACGCCTGTAATCTCAGCACTTTGGGAGGCTGAGGCAGGTAGATCACCTGAGGCTGGGAGATGGAGACCAGTCTGACCAACATGGAGAAGCCCTGTCTCTACTAAAAAAATACAAAATTAGCCAGGTTTGGTGGTGGGTGCCTATCATCCCAGCTACTCGGGAGGCTGAGGCAAGAGAATCACTTGAACCTGGGAGGCAGAGGTTGCAGTGAGCCAAGATTGCTCCATTCCAGTCCAGCTTGGGTGACAAGAGTGAAATTCTGTTTTTTTAAAAAGAAAAGAAAAAGGAAAAGAAAAGAAGAAAATATGAGACAAGCCACAAACATATAAAAGATAATTAAAGCATTTATGATAACAAAGGATAAAGATCCCTTAAAAATCAATAAGAACAAGACACACACACACACAATAAAAATAGGCAGAAAACATGAACAGGCATTTCACATAGGAAGAAAGACAAATGGCAAACGGACATGTGAAATCATGCTCATCCTTAATAGTAATCAGGAAAATTCAGTTTAAAGTCAGGGTGAGGGATCATTTCTTATACTGTATTGACAAAAATTAAGAAGTCTGATAGTACCAAGTGTTGGTGAGAACAGAATACGGGTCAACAAGATACATGCTGCTAATGGAGGTATAAATTTATACAACCACTGTGAAAAGTCATTTGTCACTATCTAGTAAAGTTGAACATTACTCCATAACACAGCAATTCCACTCATAGGTAATACAGTCCATAGGGGAGAGTTTTTCAAACAAGAGATTGCAAATAACTAATAGGTCATAAAATCAGTTTAAGGGTTGGGGTATTTTTTTTTAGGCAGGGTCTCACTCTGTTGCCCAGGCTCAAGTGCAGTGGCATGATCTCAGTTCACTGTAACCTATGCCTCCCAGGCTCAAGCCATCCTCCTGCCTTAGCCTCCCAAGTAGCTGGGACCACCGTCATGTGCTACCATGCCGGACTAATTTTTGTATTATTTTTGTAGAGACAGGGGTCCCACCATACTGCTCAAGCTGGTCTCACTCCTGGGCTTGAGCAATCCTTCTGCCGTGGCCTCCCAAAGTGCTTGAGCAATCCTGCCGTGGCCTCCCAAAGTGCTAGGATCATAGGCATGAGCCACCATATCTGGCTGAAATCAGTATTCTGCTAAGATCAGTATTCTTTAAAAGTAAAATTTAAAAATATCAGAGAGCATCATTAGTAATAAATAGAGAGGTGGCCACTGCTCCATGAACTGTTTGCTTCAGTTGTGTTTGAGGTGGAGGCCCTATGGATATACAGGTGTCCACGGTGATTTAAGGTGTATTTCTTATTCTAAGGGATGTCAATTAAGTTTGGAAGTCCTATAATAACTCTTGTGCATATCCCCCAGAAAAAATGTATAGGGTTTTTCATAATAGCATCATGCAAAATATCAAAAAACTGTATACAACTCAAATTTCCACAGATATCAGAGATTAGAACACAGGATGGAATATTACAGAATACTGTGAAGAGGAGTTCTGCAGCTATACATAACAATTTGAATGATTCTAAGAAACAAAATATTGAGGGAAAACAAAGTTACAAAATATTACATATATTATGCTTTATTTATAAAGCTAACAGACAATACTGAAAGATCAATACAAACAACCAAAAGCATGGATCTTGAAACCAGACTGTCTGGGTTCAAATCTTACCTCTGCCACTCACTAGCCACGTAATCTTGAGCAAGATACTTAACCTCGGTGACTCAGTTTTCTCATCTGTGAAATGGAAATAAGAACTTACCTCATGGGGTTTTTAGGATTAAAACCTGTAAAGTGCTTAGAACAGTGAACATGAAATAAAAAAGAAACTCAAGCAGAAAGGACAGAATGAGCAATGTTTTAGTTTTTAAATTGGTAGTGAGTGAATGAGCATTAATTTTACGTATTCACAGATTTTTTGCATATAGCAAATATTAAAAATTTCAAGCAAGAGTGAATTACGCCGAGGCTCTATGAACTCAGGCTTCATGATAAGCCACTGAAGGCAGATGACAATGACGGCCCGAGTCATACATACCTGGTTCTCAGCTTGTACCCCACAGACTCAGCCCAGTTTTGGAGCAGGCCGAAGAGTGGTTTTTCTTCATACTGTTTGGCGTATTGGGCCAGCAGTTCCTGCCCCACAATCTGTACAAAGAGTTTATCACTCATCAGTCTCAGCAGTGTAAAAAATGACAGTGTCCTTAATACTGCAATCTGATAAGATGTATTTGTCGCTTAGAGAACTCCTTGGAAGGTATCAAATATAAGACCTGATTCTTACAAGGGCCTCTATTTCCCCAAGGCAAATGTGGAGCATTTACCACACCATTCCCCATCCTCCCCTGTGGCTGACTTCACTCACTACTTACTGTTCACTCTCTCTTCTTGCCTGTATCAGTCTCTAACACTGGTCCTGGGACCAACTATTTTAGCTGACTCTTTAGTAAAACCGGCTTGCCTTCATGAACCATATGGCTGGTCCATTCTCTTTTTCACCCCTGACATTCTCTGGTCAATTAGCCCTTTGGGGGATAGTATTGAAATGCACAAATAAAACAATCTCTATCCTCTATCAGTCTTCTATTTCAGCAGCTTTAAAGTTATAATTTGGGCCTAAAATACTGCCTGCTTTTCTGCGGTGGTTCAAAGAAGATGTCTATGGCTAGTCCACTGCAGAAACTCAGTTGATGGTTAGCAACAACCACTAGACATGTGAGTGATGTCACCTTGGACCAGTGTGCCCCCACCAAGCCTCGACATGCTTCTGCCACATCATGAGTGCCCAGGAAAGACCAGCAGAACAGCAGAAAAACCACAGGGTGTGAGCCCAGCCCAAACTGCTGATCCTACAGAATCATATGCTAACAAATTTGCCTCAAAACACTAAGTTTTGGAGTGGTTTGTTACAAACCAATAGATAGCTTATTCATTCTCTTTCAACTATCAATTTCAGAATATTTCTTCTTTGCTGTATATGAATGCATGTTTTTATATGGATCATATAAAATGTTATGTATGTTTTCAATCAAGAGTATATCATAAATGACATTTTTGGTTTGCACTGTTACATAGAATTTTATTTGTTTATTTACTGGCTGTATAACTTTGTTTTGATAAATCATAGCTAATGAAACATTTCCATTTGGTTGAATACTTAGGTTGTTTCCAGTTTTAGATTATCATAATAATCTTGATAGCAATATAGGCAGACATAGAGCATAGTGCTATTTTGTATTATTACCTAAGAATAAATCCCCGTGAACTTGATTGATACAGAGGTTCTGAAAGAGGGCCACCCTGCCAATAAGTGGGATGCTGAAAACTTTCAAGGCATTTTTGGCTAGGGGAGCTTTACTGGCATTGATGGGCAGAGCCAGGTGTGAAATGCATGGGACAGTCTCAACCAACAGAGGACTGTGCCATATCCCATGTCCAGTCAAATGCCATGTGGTCAAATACATGCAAGCAGTTAAGAGCCCTGAACTTAGTTACACCAAAGCTTTTAGGTTTTCCAAGTCCTAGGCGTATGGAAAAATTAAACCCTGTTCCCTTGAAATTAGAGGTGCTTTAGGCCAGCACACAAGTGACACAGCCTCCTCTCCTTTCCCATCACCATGGCAACCTGCAATGCTCCCAGGTGTGACTGGTCCATAAGCCTGGACATCTGCATTCAACACTGCCACAGTAATTCTGAGTATAGATGCAGGAAATGTATGTCTTGGTGTATTTGTGTTTAGTTTATTACTGAATAAATATATTTAATAATATATTTGTAATATAAATAACTTCCCTTTGGTTTCCTTAAGTATTGTCTTGAATTCCTGCAATTATGTCTCTAGACAGGTTATGTGATCCATGATTTCATTCAGGATAGTAAAGAGAGTGTTAAAAAATATTTATTGTCAAAAAGAGGGCATTAGGTCCAGTGAGATTGAGAATCACTGCATTATGGGTCAAAGAACATATACATTTTTATGACTGCTGCTATACAAAATAAGTGTGAGAATCAAACCCTGCCAGGATTTGGAAAAGTGGAGAAAATAACCTAACTTTAACTAGAATTAAAATTAAAATGATATAGCAATTCAATTCCATTTCACTAACACAACACCAGGATTAAGATTTACCTATGTTTTTGCTAATCTATAAAATTTATGATAGTTGTAACTCTATTTCAGTCTCACTGCAGAAGCACTGTCATTCCTAGTATGAACAAATCACTTTCTCTGATTCCCACCCCTACCCCTACAGCTTTCCCTTACTCTATTTTTCTCCATAGCATTTATGGCTTCTTGGTGCTACAGACCACAACTTGTTTACTGGCTTGCTGTCTTCCTGTAGCCTGGAAAGCAAGTGCCGGGGGTCAAAGTGTGTCCATCCTTGTGCCATCAGGCAATGTACTGACAGAGCCTGGAGGTGGGGACTCACCCTTGAATGAGTGAATGAATACGTACATTCCCTTCCTGTTCTCCATATCTCACCCAATATGCCCAATTCCTTGATAATCTCCTTTAACTTCAGTCACTACTTCCACTTTTTCCACTTAAGCAACTAAAATTGGGTAAAACTAACTCACTCTAATTGGGATCAAAGTTAGAATGATACAATAATCAAGTTCAGGTGCTAAACTTAAGAAAGACATGGGAGATAAACATGGTCCTGACTAACAACACAAAAGCAGATTACTCACTTTGGATCTTTGCTCCTTTTCTAGGTCATGAGACAAGGAAACGTGATTTTAAAAATGAGTTTATTTTCTGCTGTTGATGCCCCCTTGATGAAAGATTAAGTGATTGAAGCTATCAGCTACCATGGGATTTGAGCATTACAGTCTCCAGATCCAGTACTTTATTTTATAAATTACCAGGCAGAGGCAAAGATAGATCAGTCACCACCTAGACTGAGTATGCAATGAAGATGTGCTTGTTTAATCTCATAGATGTGTTCCTGAACATATTATATTATGTAATATATATATATATGTGTGTGTGTGTGTGTGTGTGTGTGTAATTTTTAATTATATTTAAAAATAACTGTAGACTTACAGAAGCTGCAAAGTTAAAACAGCACAGAATGATTCTCTCTAGCCATCACCCAGATTCCCCTGAAAAGTGATCTCTTGGCCAGGTGCAGTGGCACACGCCTGTAATTCCAGCGCTTTGGGAGTCCAAGGTGGGTGGATCACCTGAAGTCAGGAGTTTGAGATCAGCCTGGCCAACATGGTAAAACCCCGTCTCTACTAAAAACATAAAATAATTAGCTGCGTGTGGTGGTACATGTTTGTAGTCCCAGTTACTTGGGAAGCAGGAGAATTCCTTCAACCCAGGAGATGGAGGTTGCAGTGAGCTGAGATCGCCTCACTGCACTCCAGCCTGGGTGACAGAGTGAGACTCTGTCTCCAAAAATAAAATTAAAAAGTGATCTCTTACTTAATAATGGAGACTATCAAAACCAAGAAATCCAATACAATTTTTATTCATTACATGTGTTAATTCTAGAGATTTCATTACTTAAAATGGACCTAGAGGAAGATTTTTTAGTAAAGTGAAACATTATTTTCGGCAACACAAGTGATTACATTCTCCTCTAAGTCTGGTGTTTTACTTATTTCAGATTTTCTTAAAACAACTTGTGATAGGTGATTGTGGGTGGTGTTTCTGTGGCTCTTCTGCAGTTCTCTGGTTCTGCATGTTCTGCTGGTCCTGCACTCTTTATTTTCACATACACCTGCTCAGGAGCCCCTTTCTTAGTAGAACTCTAGGGTGAGTGAGCAGTCAAAACATCCATGTTCTTTTCTTTTAAAAAAGATCCCATTCAGAGGAGGAATCAAGCAAATCTACGACCAACATTTGGAAACTATGAGTCTTAGCAATTGTGCAGAAAGATGACATCATCAACATGCATTTGCAATAAATATCATAGGCATCATGCAACATGATTATGTAATACCAATAAAAGTTATTTTTTAGGTCAAAACGCTTTTCAAGGCATCTATGAAGCAACGAGCATTTCCACACGCTAAATATTTCACTGATTTATGCTAGGTACAGTGAAACTTGGATTAAAGAGCCTGACAAGTAGAAGTTGCTGCCAAGGCAGAAACACTTAGAGCCAATTACAACAGAAAAATGTGATTTCTAAGGAAAATCTACCAGATATACATTATGAATCCAGGCAGTGGGGCCGCACTTGGGTTTGTACCATAGAGTGGTAGATTCACTCAAAGTAGCAGTACTTATGGTAGTGGGCCTGAAATCATGCTCCAAAGAGCTCTAGGTAGACTGGCTACATAATTTGGGGCCCAGGACAAAATGAAAATGCAGGCCCCCTTGTTCAAAAATTATTAAGAATTGTATGATGGTGAGAACAGAGCATTAAACCAAGCATGGTCCCTTCTGAGTGCAGGGTTCTGCACCACTGCACAAATCTCACCCCATGAAGCTGGCCCTGGCCCTAGGGGTTCTAATAGGATTGCCAGATAAAAGAGAGGACACCCAGTTTATATTTGGACACCCAAATATTGCATGGGAGATACTTACATGAAAATAATATTCATGTTTACCTGAAATACAAATGTAGCTGGGCATCCTATATTTCTATTTCCTACATCTGGCAAGCCTAGGTTCCTAAGGGCATTTCAGAGGTCACCTAGGGGTATGAGAATGAAGAAAAGACCAAGTGGATATGAATTTCCACCGTCATGCATTTTAACTCTTTACCTCTTTTAAATGCTGGACATTCCATCAAGGCAAGATTTCTTTTTTTTTTTTTTTTTTTTGAGACGGAGTTTCACTCATGTTACCCAGGCTGGTGTGCAATGGCGCGATCTCGGCTCACTGCAACCTCCGCCTCCTGGGTTCAGGCAATTCTCCTGCCTCAGCCTCCTGAGTAGCTGGGATTACAGGCACGCACCACCATGCCCAACTAATTTTTTGTATTTTTAGTAGAGATGGGGTTTCACCGTGTTGACCAGGATGGTCTCGATTTCTTGACCTCGTGATCCACCCGCCTCGGCCTCCCAAAGTGCTGGGATTACAGGCTTGAGCCACCGCGCCCGACAAGGCACGATTTCTTTGAGGAGAATCTTTAAAAATTCCCTGGCTAGAAGAAATAAGAGACAGAGATGGAGGGGATGACAGAAGAAG